TTATATGTGCCACAAATGCGGCATCATAAAACCTTAAAAAAGGTATATGCAAAAAATGATGAATTTGTAATGATGATGCTATACATTGTTATTTGACTGACCTTATAAGGAACAACCTTAAAATATATGTAGATACACTGTATATAACTTCTACCAGCTAATTTCAATCTTTGATGCACCGCACTGGCTAGTCTGCCATAATATCTGCCATAATTTTTTTTCATATGGTCTAAATGTCATGAGCAATTTCAAGCTATCTTCTTCAGGATTTTCAGTTTTTACAAATATTCCCCCACGTATACATCACTTTTTACATTTATCAGCATCTAACAACTGACCAGGATATAAAACCAGTATCATTCACTGTTACAATTGATAGCTTTAATTATTATATTTTTCATTGCAGAACACTGTTTTAGGGCTTCATCTTCAGCGTGTGTTTCGTATGATATCAATGAAATTCCAGGAATGTAAGGACATTATGTTTTTTTTAGTAACATGACTTTCTTATACATTGATATATTTGTAGTTACAATAAAAAAGTGTTACCTCCCAATCCCATTTCTAATATTCTAATTTGTCACGTCAGGTCTTAGGTAAGGGAGGCTGTTTAAAAACATGATTAGACGTCATAGTTATCAGTTCAGACTAATTAAAAACACGAGTAGACGACGTAGTTATCAGATCAGACGAACTAAAAACACGTTTAGACGTTGTTGTTATCAGATCGGGGGGGGGGGGGGAGGACTTCCCAGTATCTAAACTGCGCTGGTGGTGGGAGTGGTGTTGGTGCTGCTGCTGCACGAAGCAGCTGGCGATGACTAAGGTCGATGGGAGCTGTAAATGCATATTCAGCCTTGTCCTCTATCGTCCAACAAAGGACTAAGTGACCACAAGGGCCCCTAACATGTATGAGTAAAATATCACAAGGGCATTGTAGTAGCCAATCAGAGGCTACAACACTTGCCTGCAGCTCGACAATACACTCATAATATTTCACGTACAGCTCAGCGACTTGTAGGGGCCTATTGTATCTATCACATACTAGCCTACTACAGTACAACATCTGTCAACTCTCCTCAATCTGTCAATCGCAAGCACTTGTCAGTGTCAGATATTCGCAGTATTGACTGTGACGTCGGCGCAAGGGTGACCAAGACCATTGACAAGAGCACCATTTAGTGCCAAAATTAGTTTTGGCTTCTAGTTGCATTTTGACGACTAGTCGTATTTTGCTGTCTGATCTGATAACTACGACGTTTAATCGTGTTTTTAATTCGTCTGATCTGAAAACTACGACATCTAATCATGTTTTTAATGCCCAAAATTCAGGAATGCCTCATTTAATTCTAAAGTGTTGCCATCTAATCTGATAACTACAACGTCTAATCGTGATTTTAGTTCGTCTGATCTGAAAACTATGGCGTCTAATCGTGTTTTTAATTTTTGTATAAACCGCTGCCCATACTTAGTGATACAGTTGTACTGGTGAGTTTTCATAAGTAGAAACATGAGATTATGCTATAGGGCATTCCCTTTCAAATTTGTACAATTTTTGTGGATATTAATTTATTACTCATTTCGAACATGATTGCTCCATTTAAACAACTTTTATGTAATAGGTAAGAGGTGTTGATGTCCTGTTTTCAGGCCTTGACCTGATGGAAGATGTATATCAGTCAGAATTGGTCAACAACATTAAGATGAAAGCCCATTTCTACAGGGCACAATGCTTTTGCATGTCTAAGATGTATAAAGAAGCCAAAGAAGCTATTGATACAGCTTTGCAGCTAGCCAAAGAAGTCAGAGATTTAGAAAATTTAAAGGTAAAAATTAATGCATTGCCTGATGGAAGATGTATATCAGTCAGAATTGGTCAACAACATTAAGATGAAAGCCCATTTCTACAGGGCACAATGCTTTTGCATGTCTAAGATGTATAAAGAAGCCAAAGAAGCTATTGATACAGCTTTGCAGCTAGCCAAAGAAGTCAGAGATTTAGAAAATTTAAAGGTAAAAATTAATGCATTGCCTGATGGAAGATGTATATCAGTCAGAATTGGTCAACAACATTAAGATGAAAGCCCATTTCTACAGGGCACAATGCTTTTGCATGTCTAAGATGTATAAAGAAGCCAAAGAAGCTATTGATACAGCTTTGCAGCTAGCCAAAGAAGTCAGAGATTTAGAAAATTTAAAGGTAAAAATTAATGCATTGCCTGATGGAAGATGTATATCAGTCAGAATTGGTCAACAACATTAAGATGAAAGCCCATTTCTACAGGGCACAATGCTTTTGCATGTCTAAGATGTATAAAGAAGCCAAAGAAGCTATTGATACAGCTTTGCAGCTAGCCAAAGAAGTCAGAGATTTAGAAAATTTAAAGGTAAAAATTAATGCATTGCCTGATGGAAGATGTATATCAGTCAGAATTGGTCAACAACATTAAGATGAAAGCCCATTTCTACAGGGCACAATGCTTTTGCATGTCTAAGATGTATAAAGAAGCCAAAGAAGCTATTGATACAGCTTTGCAGCTAGCCAAAGAAGTCAGAGATTTAGAAAATTTAAAGGTAAAAATTAATGCATTGCCTGACGACCGTTAGCAAAATATCAAGCCTGCTGCGAATTTGCAGCAATTTTGCTGAGAATTGAAATTTCTTCTTGCAAATTTGCTGCAATATGGCTGCAAAATTGGAGCAATAAAATTTTCTTGCAAACCCTGCAAACTTGTTGCTGCAAACTTTTTATTTTGCTTAGGGTATTCAGTGGTACAAAGCATAAGGTTTTCCCACTGAAAATTTCTACTTAACAAAATTTTCTTAAAATAACCTCATTTGATCCCCTTTTCTTGACATCTTTCATACTCTGTAACAATATGGGGAAAACAAAAAGTCTTGAACCCATGCTTCAGGCTCAGTTTTTGCAACTTCTGCCAGATTCCACTTTTTAAAACTGTCAGTATGGTTGTTAGGAGGTGAGGTTCGACAGGATGGGGTAATTTTGATTTTTTTTTTGCAACATTAAAATTGCTGTTGTTATCTGTTAAATATTATCAAAAAGTTTTTACTGTCCTTAAAGTGCATTAAAAATCCTCCTCTTTGGCTGTTAAAACTGTTACCTTTTGCAGTTTATGAACTAGTCATATTTTTATGTAAAGCTAAGTAGTTTATTATGTTCTTTACTTAATTTTATGTGATATGGGCATAGAGTAAAATATTCATTAATGGCTGTTGCATGTTTTGTAGTAAATGATGTGTGATCTTTCATAACTTGAAGAGATCTTTTTAATTCAAATACTTCTTAACATTAAGGAAAAGGATATGCTTGAACTGAGAAAACTCTGCACTGAAGAAATGGAAGCCATTAGCGGCTCACAGACTGCAGTGAATGAGGAATGGTTGGAGGGTACAAACATTGCGGAGGGGATCAGGGTAATTCATCATGCTTTGGTGGTTTCTCTACTTTTTATGAACAGACAATGCTTTCTGTCTGTACATTTGACAGCTATGCTGCCTTGTTATTCAAAAATGAACAGTTTGATAATTTAATATGTATTACTTGTTAATGAATAAAAGACCTTAAATTACAATTAAAGGAATATAATAGCTTTTTGACAATTTAAAGTTTTTAGTTCAATTTTGCACAAAGTTAATAGGTTTTTAGATAATTTTGTCAACATTGCATGCTTAAGATATTATTAGTACAAGTAGTGTTTGAAGTTACTGAATAGTTTGTTGGGAACTAATGTGCTTATACATGAATATGTTTTAGATGTAATGTTTTATCCTTTTTTCCTTGTTTTTTAAGGCTAAGAGGCATCAAGAAAAAATACGTAAGCGTTACCAAGGTAAGATATAAGTGTTGCAAAGGTATCATTGGTGTAGAAAATTGAGTCAGTTTTCAAAACGTAATGACAGAAGATAAAACAAAAATCATAGCTTACATGTATACGGTAAAGTCTTGAAAATTTCTTAGCTTAAAAATTAATTAATATTTTTAATTGTGTAAGTCAGACTAATTTTTCAAAATTACCTCTCCCCGACTCTTGGGTATGACGAAATTTTCAAAAATCCTGCCTTTGCCAAAGTTTGGGCTTTATTCTTAGCGACTTACCTTTGACCCTCCTATTGTGGGATATTTATTACTACTTCCTAAGTCATTTTCTGGTGGTAAATAATAATCTATTTATTAGTGCATCTCGATTAAGTTATACATAACTTACTGTACCGGAAAACATGTTGAGAATTATCTTCTCGGTAAGAAACATACCTCCTGATAGAGGAGAAGGATCAAGATAAGCCTAATTGCAACCTTACATCATAACCTGGACGCGACATATTAAAAAAAATTACGCTCTTGGGAACGTTTGTTGCATGCAGGGCTTTTCTCAGGATTGAGTGTCTTCTATAATTACCATCTGTAACTTCGAAAAAATTTACAGGGAGTTAAAATAATGATCTCCCCTTGTCGATCTTCCGCAATTTAAGTTCCTTGAACTAATATGAAAACTGCATTTTATTATTGTTTACATCCCGAACAATCTCCTGGTGAAGATGTGAAAATTGCCTTTTCGTCTAGCAAGGATCGCGAACGATCTCCCTCTGATATGATATTACGTGTATAAAGTCCTGAGAATATTACGCCAACAATTCTCTGCCGAATATATACCGTGAGAGGGGCAGGGGGTGGATTAAAGATAAAATGAAAATGAATATTAAAAAAAAAACCTAAGTGTGTGTGTGTTGGGGGGGTTTAACTAATGATCTCCCTCTAATGATCTTCTGCGAACAAAGTTCCCTAAATCTCTTAAACTAATATGAAAATTGCATTTCATTCTTGCTTACATTGCGAAAGATCTCTCGATGATGATATGAAAATTGCCTTTTCGTCTCGCTCAGATCGCGAACGATCTCCCTCTGATGATTTTACGAGAACAAAGTCCTGACGATATTACACAAATGATTCTCCGCCGAAGATTTGCCGTGATCGGGGAAGGGGGGTTAAATATAAAACTAAATATATATTTATATATTATTTATAATATTCAAAGGGGGAGGCGAGGTTAAAATAATGATCTCCCGCTGACGATCTCTCGCAAACTAAGTTCCTTGAACTAATATGAAAACTGCATTTTATTATTGCTTACATCACGAACAATCTCACGATGAAGATATGAAAATTGCATTTAGTCCTATGTCAAGCTAGGATCGCAAATGATATGATATGATCTTATGCGAACAAAGTCCTGAGAATATTACGCGAACGATTCTCCGCCGAAGATATACCGTGAGCGGGGCAGGGGGCAGATTAAAGATAAAATGAAAATGAATATTTTTTAAAAATCCAAAGTGTGTGTGTGTGTGGAAGGGGGGGGGTTAAATAATGATCTCCCGCTGACGATCTTCCCTGAACGAAGTTTCCTATATCTCTTGAACTAATATGAAAATTGCATTTTATTCTTGCTTACATCGCGAACAATCTCCAGATGATGATATGAAAATTGCCTTTTCGTCTCGCTCGGATCGCGAACAATCTCCCTCTGACCATCTTACGCGAATAAAGTCTTGACGATATTACGCGAAGGATTCTCTGCTGAAGATATGCTGTGAGCAGGGGAGGAGGGGGTTAAAGATAAAATGAAAAGTATATATTATTTATAAAATTCAAAGGGGGAGGGGGAGGTTAAAATAATGATCTCCAGTTGACGATCTTCCACGAACAAAGTTCCCTTGAACTAATATGAAAAGTGCATTAAATTTTTATTCTCGCTGACATCCTGAACAATCTCCCGCTGAAGATATGAAGATTGCCTTTTCGTCTCTCTCGAATCGCAGACAATCTCCCGCTGAAGATGTGAAGATTGCCTTTTTGTCTCTCTCAGTCGCAGACGATCTCCTGCTGATGATGTTAGGCGAACAGATTCTGCTACAAATATGAAAATTATCTTGTCTCGTTTGGATCGCGAATGATCTGTTGACTTTATTACGAGAACAATTCTCCGATGAAGATATGAAAATTGCCATCTCGTCCCATTCGCATTGCGAACGATCTCCCTGTACAAGCCAGGTAATCTTTAATTGGTCCTAAATTGAACATGGACATGAATAGAAGTGACGGGTACGTTTCACTTCAAGATAATATCTTGATTTTTTCATTGTGTCTTCCTCATTTAGGACAGTCGCCGATAACAATAACGGCGTTACAAATGACAAAGCCGCGGCCTATGACTTCTATTTGCCGGCTTTATAACCCACCTTAAGCCAGGTAACATTAATGAAACTAAAGACAAAAGGCCGACGTTCCCGCAATTGAGAACAGGAATTCACATCTAAACCATATATATTGTGAGTAACCACTTGCAGGGGCGCACTATTGTTCCTATCTCCCATTGAGAGTGTTATCGGCAATGATATCCTGATGGTATCATTGTCTTGAATCAACTGACGCATTACCTTCATGTTTGAGCTTGACAACGCGGCCATATTTGGTGACGACCTTTTCAAAAATTATTGAGTACCACATTTTCAAGAATGACGAAATTTTCAAGACTTACAAGACCGTATGCAAGGAATTTTTTAAAAGGCACAGCTGTAGGGTTCTGGTTGTGGGCGACAAAAATGCCAGTCTTCTGTTGGATATTCCCTAAAAATAGAAAACTGCACTGCTAGTCAGTCTATGATAGTAACCCCATGGCAAATGCCAGTTAAATTGTAGCCTGTCTTGTAAAGTTTTGTCAGTTTGTTTAGTTATGTACTGATGACTATTTTTCTTTTAAGTACCTAGCTGCTTTTAAATGTTTCAGTGACATATATGATGGTATACAAACCCCTTTTCGCTTAAATGCATTTTTCTGTTTTGTACTTGTAGAATCGAAGACCCTAAAAGTAAAGAAGATAAAGTACAAGCAAGTACCCAGAAAGCCAGAAGCAGGAAGACAAGTATGGACCAGAACAATGTCTTTTCACTTATCTTTAAATACCTGTATATAGCCATTAAAGATACATACAAAGTCAATTTTTTGTCACAAAAACCGACCAAATGCCAGCATATAGTTTCAAGTAGTAAAACTAAGAGAATTACCAAAAAGCATTGTTTAATTTTACCCGAAAATGATGTTTGAACAGATTTTTCTGCTGGCATTCTAAGCTGTATGTCAAAGCAGGAAAGTAGGTCACGGAAGTAGGTCAAATTACAACCATAAATTTAAAGAAAGGAGCAGTCTAAAGGTCTTTTATGGCTGATAGAGTGATCTATTCAGTTTATCCCTTGGCATGTCAAATTTATTTGAGTCATATAAAAATCTAGTAGAATTGGTTTACATGTGTTACTGGGAATCCACGCTCCACCGATGCTCAGTTCGTATGTACCTTTAAGGATAAGCATATACTTAAAGGATATTGTCACCCTTCTTCCAAAATTCCTTAAGCCCCCTTCGCACTTATTCAGAATTTGCAGGAATCAAGGAGAACCAGCCGGAATGAATAAATTTCAAAATTCGTACTACATTTGGGAAGAAATTTCAAATTGACCTAAATTCTTGTAAGAATGCCGTTGGAATACTCAGAATGCACTTGAATTCGCCTGGAATGATTCGTGCACATTTCGGCTGTATTAGCTCTCAAATGTAGCCCGAATGAGTTGGAAAACTAGGAATATCAATAATGCTGTCAGAATGCAGTCAGAATATTTAGAGTACACTTCGAATGCCGACGAGTGTAGTTTGATTGTTGAAATAGGATCGAGATGCATTCTAGTTGCATTCTGGCTCATTCTAGTAGGATTTGAAGTGTCGTGCCATTTCGGTTCTCCCTCGAATGTGATCAGAATGTTTCCAATGCTGTCGAAATGCCATGAGAGTATTTAGAATGCAGTCACAGTGCAGTTAGAATTCTATTCAAATGCCTTTCGATAATTTCCACTTGGAATGCACTTCAAAAGTTTTAAACATGAGCAAAACATTCAGGACGGCCACAAGAATGGGTAAAAATATTTGGAATGCATTTGGAATTTTTAGAATGCACTTCAAATATCCAGGAATGCACGAAGAATTGTCTTTTCGATGGCATCCTTGCTCATTCCACCTCTAGTGTGACAGGGGTATTATTTACTGCCTTACATGCATTCTTTTTGGTAGTAAATAATTCTTCAGTATTCAGTGACTAAATTAATAAACATTTACACATATGTCATCTTACCAGTGACATCACAATTGCGATTTTGGGGTAAAAACTGAAAAATCAGTTTTTCAAATTTTTCTTTTACCTGAGCACCCACGATCACCGTTTTAATACCGATTTAATGACACATTTAATACTCCAAAACCCTGCCAGCGATTTTTCTTAGAAGTATTACGGCACATTTCCATAGATTTTAGATCGATCTTTCCCTGTGGGGAGTCTCTCTAGATTACTGTCAGATAACCCGACTTAAATGTCCGTCCCGCCTACTACAAGCTGTAAAGGGGTAATTAACTTTCGTGCCCTCTCGGCTGACAGCTATTTAGCATGAACCCCCAGGGAGTTAGGTTGATCTAGTTGGATGGATTTAATCTCTGGGAATGGGGTCTTAGTTCAGATTTTATCGTTGATCAAGCAAAATAATGCCTTTGTTTAAAAATATCTGTAATTAAGGGCTCATCAATCCATAACAAAAACATTTAAACCAACAAGCACAGGATTGTAGCTGATACACTAGTTAACTGTCTATCTGACTGATAAATAGAAAGATACTGTCACCAAGAAAATGGTGGTGATTTCAAATTCTCATAGTATTTTTTTCTGGTTCAGCAACTGAAAGCAGTGTCTGCACCTGCACCAGTGAAAGCAAAAGAAGACAATTTACCTCAGAGAACTGATGAAAGAGAGATAATTAGCAAATTGGATAAGCTCACAGATACATCTATTCCTGATGACAGAAAGAAGAGCGATGCACCATTAGAGTACAAACTGACCACGAGAGGAAGTGGTGTGTATTCTCAGGATATTATTTGAGTTTTCTGCATTCTGTTATTTATACTTCATTTCAGTCAATAATGAAACATATTCAGGATTTAATCCATTTGAAAAACTTTTCTTTTCTCCTGTTACCAAAAATTTTGCCCTTTGGCACCACCTACAATTATTGTGAGGAAAACTTGGACCCAGAATTTGTTGCCTTTCCTTTGCCTAGTTTTGTTTTGATAAAAGTGTCTACAATTTAAAAAGAACTCTCTCTGTATTTGAACTCTGTACTAATAATTATTTATTCCAGTTGTGTTGATCTTTTATTTATGTTTATTTCAGGAATTTCATCGAGAGACTCTGAACAGGTGGTTGGGATCAAAGCAAATTTTCCTTTACAAGATGTAAGGATACAACTGGCATGCTCCTCTTGCTGTGTTGAATCTGAAAACAGTGGGGATGCTTACTGGTATGACTGGAAGGCTCATGAAAATTGCTACGAAGACCGTTTACTACTTCAGCGCAAGGGTGGGAAACTATGGTTGTGGATCAAGGCTCCTTTATACAATACTTTTACTGACCTTTGCAAAACTCATTTGCATGGGAGATCTTCACCTTTTCCAGTTAAGAAATGCAAATATCCCCACAGCAAAGAGGAAAAGATTTTGTGGAAAAAGGAACAAAGGCATGAGTTCAAGATTCTTAATTTTATTGATGAACTCCGGTATGCTTATCATCCCAAACCAAAAACTCCACAAGAACTGATACAGAAATATGGAGGAAAATTAGTTTTTGTATGTCGCAAGTGCTTTTTCATGAAACCGACAGTTATCAGTTGGAAAGTGAAAGATAAAGATTGCTGTGAAAATGGGCATCGCTGGAAAGTTGAGGGGTTTTTACTTGTACATGAAAGTATTGTTGGCACAGGAAGAAACCGCATTCCAATAAGAGAAAGACCAACTGGTTATGCTGAAAGTGATATGTACCAAAGATGTGCCAAAGGAATTTGTACTGAAGGAGATTGCCCAAAGGCACATTTTGATATTGAAAGGGATGTATGGCATCTAGAAACAATCAATAATTGGACCAGAAAAGACTTCATACGAAATCTGAAGAAATTAAATTCTCATGACAAGAAAACCACAACAATGAAAAATACACTTGGAACAGTCATAGAAAATACAGAAGTGTTGTCAGCAAGAATCCAACATTTGGACTGCATATCATCTGCAAGTACATTTACACCAGCTAGTGAAGTCAAGTGTCAGGAGAAGGTGCAGTATGCTTGTCGTAAATGTTACATCAAAAACCGAAATCTCATTGTTGGTCCATCAGTGGATTTTAGGTTTTGTGACAAGCAGTTGCATCCATGGAACCCAGATACTTATTTGTGTGTTGCCCTCCAGGAAGATGGAAAATATTGTGAAATAAGGGAATTGCCAGATGTCAAGAGAGACCAGTTTGACCTGTGTGTCAACATTAAAAGCTCTAATCGCTGCTTCAGGGGAAAGGAGTGTACCTATGCTCACTCTCCTATGGAGAAATTGCTGTGGGAATGGATGCAGAAAAATGGTGGTAAGGTTAACTTAAAGTAGCATGCAAGTAAAATGCAGGAAAGGCAACTGAATTATTAACTTATTTATCTTAAAAGGGAATAGTTTTGTATTTTTTTTATGGTTTTACCTCCAAACTGCATCAAGGCAATGAATTGATGCAAGTGACCAGTGCCGCATCACATCATAGGCTACTGATTCCTATGTTCTCATCTATGTGCCCAGATGAGAACATTCAGAACAGATAGTCTTTCAGACTACTGATTTGTGGATCAAACATGGCGAACCCTACATGAAAGCAAGACTGCTTTATCCTGTAATGGTCTCCACCTCCACAAGTGTGGTCCCTGCAGGGGCCTAGCAATTAAACCGAAGCTGAGATTTTATCCATTTAATGGTTTGTGTGGAGGCGGTGAGACCATCTTGCTTTCATGTAGGGTCTGCCATATTTGACTTGTGGATCAGTTGATTTGAGGATTATTTGTTTTGAATAGTCTCTTTGTGTGGTTGGGCTGAAGCATTTTCACAGGAGTAGCTGCCATTAGATGCTAAAACTTATAGTTTATTCTTATTTTGGCACTGTAAAAGTTAGCAACCTCTTGTTTGCTGAATATTGTTGAGCTTGGGAAGAGCAATACTGAAGGTGGTTTCTTCTTTTTTTTTTGTATCTGTATGAATAAGGAGTTGAGTTATTAAAAATAATACTGTTTTTCCCCACACCTGACAAAACTTTTATGAAATTAAATGTGAACTAACTCCTAAATTGAAGGATATATGTTTCATTTCAAATTTTCTAGTTTTTAAAGAAAAAATGCATGCCGAGTTGAATTTTACAAATTCTGTAAATTTCCATAAACATTTAAATTTTTTTTTTTAGTTCTCAGTCTGGAAGAATTGGTGATTGCATCTGAAAGATCTCAATCCAGTCTAGCACCAAAACAGGATGGAGATGATGTGACAGAGCACAGAATTCCTGGCACTAGATTCTGCTTCCCAAAGTTCTACTGCAAGTATTGCTACAAGGAGTGCAACAGTAAGATACAGTTGGAGAGACATTTCAGCTCACAGAAACATAAGTCTGTGCTCTCCCAGCTGAACAGGAGCGATCAGCCGTGGAATTGCCGGGAACCACCACCTAATTTGATAGACTTTAAGCTTTGCAAAAGGTAAAAAAAATAAAAAATATATATATGTCCTCCATGTGGATTTTAGAAAGAAGAAAATAGTGAAGAATTGGTGACCCAACTAATGGTGTACAGGCAGGACACCATGCCTTCTGCACCACTAGATGGTGGTCACCACAGTGGTGTATGGCAGGCAGTGCACTGTGCCTTCTGCACCACTAGGTGATGGGCACCACAGTGGTGCATGGCAGGCAGGACACCGTGCCTTCTGCACCACTAGGTGGTGGGCACCACAGTGGCGCATGGCAGGCAGGACACCATGTTATTTGCACCACTAGATGGTGGGCACCACAGTGGCGCATGACAGGCAGGACACTATGTTATTTGTACCACTAGATGGTGGGCACCATAGTGGTGTATGACAGGCAGGGCACCATGCCTTCTGCACCACTAGATGGTGGGCACCATAGTGATGACAATATGGCAGGCAGGATGCTGTGCACTGGGCACCACTAAATTGGAGTGATATTTTGAAGTACAGCAAGGAAGGCCTTAAAGTGACATTTTTGATTTTGGAAGGAGTAAGGGAATTAATTGAATTTTGAGATTACTTTTTAATAAGATTGTGAAAAATAAAATTGGTACAATTTCAGTTCTTTGATTTAGGCTTTTTTCCATAGAAATCCCCATACAGTGAATAGCAACTGTTATCTAATCATGAGAATATAAATTAAAAAGTAAGTGACTCTTATTCAAGGCATTGTGAAGATGGAGAAACCTGTTTGTACTCTGGGGTTGAAGACCATCTGAATCTCTGCCCGTTTGCACATTCTGAAGAGGAACTTGGTGAATGGAATCAGAGAGCCGCACAGAAAGATGCCTTGAGGAATCTTATGAAAGAGACCAAAGTTTATCCCTACCTCAACCAGGTTTATGAGGATTACTTAGCAGTGAAAGATACAGAAAAAGAAAAAAATTTAGTAAGCAAAGCTGATTTTATATTTTCTTCAATACAACAGCTAAAAAAATAAAAATAAATAAAATAAATAAATAAAACCGAGTTATTTGCAGATCACTGTCTACCAAAATACCTTCAGGGATTGAGACAACAGGTGTTATGATAGTTTCTGCCTGTAGTGAACTGTCAGCAACTCCCTCTACCATTATTGCAATTACATTGCTTTGAAATGCATAAAGACCCATTATTTCATTAGAAAATGATATTTAGAAAACCAAAATATATACATAAGGTAAATTCAGGCTTTACCCTATGTCATAAAACTTTACAAAATGCATCTTATTCATTTTGGTAATTTCTGTCTTGCATAATCCATTTTACACCTCATTGTGGTTACATTGTTTCTGATAATATTTTTAGATTGTGTATGATATGAAAGGTATTGACATCACACCAAATCCACAGACAGAAGATGGCAAGCAATTTCTTCACAAACAGTTTCAAGATAAGATAAAGAATGATAAGGGTTACACATTTACTGTCAAAGTAGATACTAGCAAAGTGGTAAGAACTTATATTTAGTATCTGCATTTGTGGTATACTTGTACATCAGTTATGTTTGTTTACACTTTTTAGTAATCTATGACAGTAAGTTTGTAATTAGTGTATTTATTTTCCCTATTTATTGGACCACCAGTGTGAGTGGTGGGGGTACCATAATTTTACCTACTAACTACCAAGTATATGTAAAAAATCAGAAAAAAAAAGAAAAATTGATTAGTAGTATCAAAAATTTTGCATTTCTAGGATCTGAAGCTGGAGAGAGCCTCCCTTTTACTGTTCAAGCACAGAGATCACTTTGGTATAGAGACTGATGGAGGTGACACTGTACAACTCATCGCTGGAGACTCGGTGTGCAGCAATGTGGATAACAATACATATGAACTCCGAGTGTTGTTTAAGACCTTCATTTTTGGAACTTTTGAGCAAATTTTGTTACTGGACTTTGGTCAGAGGCCTTTTCTTGGTGTTTCTTTAAAAGTTGATGTTGGCACTGAACAGGCGTTAAAGAAACTTTTTAAAGTAAGAAAGTTACAGCAAATGCCAAGAGGTCATGTTATTTCTGATTATATCCCTTGTGCTAGTAATCCAAGTCCTCTGCAGGAGGTTGTGAGGAAACATTTGCAAAACATATGGGATTCTTCTTATAACTTGACATCACTTGATAAGAAAGAGTTGAATCGTCATAACTATGTTGGTGTTATGCATCAACTGCTGTTGGAAGAACAAAAGGAGCAGGCTAGCCTTGTACAGGGGTATGTATGCCCCCATAAAATTAAGGTTTTCTAAAAATGAGTTACTAAGATAAAGAGCATTTTTATGTCAAAATTTGGTAAATTTTATAGATGGAAGTTATTTGTATTTTGCACCTCATGTCTCTCTGGTTTTTGGTGCTGTTTTATTGTTTATGATAGTAGTTGATCTAGATCTGCAAATTGAACAATGTCAAGTTAATGGTGGAAAACATAATGTTGATACCCATTGTTACTAACATTGCCTTATAAACATGAATATTATTGATTTGAAAAATCAGGATTACCCATTTATTTGTTGCAGTTGTAGAATAAAGGCAGGGACTGAAGTCATGACACGTCTCCCTCTTTCTCTCCACCACATCAAAACAGACAAACACCTTTTTGCTAAAATTTCCATGGATGAAAACCTTCTTCAGTTTGGCAGGGAAACTGTAGAGCTGCTCCTCACTTCAGTTAGCCAAGGTTATATTCAGCTGGTTACGTCTCCAAGTTCAGAGTTTTATGAAGTAGAGGTGTTGAACTACCAAGACTTTATAGACAAAGGTCGAACTAGAGACTCCATCTATCTTGCCTTGTCCGACCAGTGTTGCCAAGATCTGCATTTGATCCCAGACACCTGTACATATTTGACAGTGCAGTTCAAGTTAGATGTGACAAATTTTCAGCTTATGCACTTAGCCCTGGAAAGACTTGATGCAAATCTTGATGTTTTCTTCCCTGACTACACTCTTGATCAGCCAATGAGGGACTGCCTACCTGGGGAATTGAAAAAGTAAATATGCGAATACATATACCCCTACCCTGTCTAATGCAATACTTTTCAATCAATATCTTTCAGTTAAATGCACCAACATATACCTAGATATTATGATGAATGTTTTGTTTGCATTTATTTTGGAAGAAAACTTGGGATCCATAGATTTCAGTTGTTTGCTAGTTTCTTCAATCTCTCTTTATATTATTAATAAATAATTTTTAACGCTAATTGTTCTGTCAAAATCACTTTTTATAATATAAATTTCAAATATGTATGGACATGTGGCTGTGTATCATTTTGTTATTGTGATTACATTTGTTAATGTAGGAAATTTCAGTGAACAGTTAACATTTTATTATGTACAGACACAATAAGTGTCTGTATGTATTCTGATTGGTCTGTCTGTCCATGTCGTTGCTGTCATTGTCTGACACATGACTTTTATCCCGTAACTGCCAAACTGTATTTTTCTTCACTTTAAATTTACTAAGTGGCTTTGTTTGCTAAAGAGGCAGGTTGCATTCAAAACTTGGCATGATCAGTTTACATTAACAGAAACTATTGTGTTTTTTTTGCACAATTTTGGTGACATTTGTCCCGTAACATCCAAACCGTATTTTCGCTTTACTTTAAATTAATTGAGTGGCTTTGTTTGGCAAAGAAGCAGGTTGCTTTGGATAATGGACACAATGGTAATTATTCTGTTTTTTTCGCACAATTTTGGTGAACCGTATTTTAACGTTAACCATATTTTCACTTTTCTTTAAATTTACTGAGTGGCTTTACTTGTTAAAGAGGCAGGATGCCATAAAAAATCAGTATGATTGGTTTACATTTATGGTAATTATTCTCTTTATTTATTTATTTATTTATTTTTAATTTTTTTTTTCACACTAGCATTTTCAATGGCTTTTATTTCCTGTGGAACAAATAACTTGCTGGTTTTTCAATATCCATGTTACCTGTAGTGCATAATTTAAGAGAGAAAGAGTGATTATGCTGTTTTAATGAATTATGTAACAGTGCATCAAAATTGGCCAAAACATTGTGGTGAACTTTTTTAGCATAATGTCTGACCTTTTGTCAGGTTTGCTGCTTATTTTCCTGTATGGTGTCTATATATTTGCCAGCTTTACTGTCTAGTTTATTTATTTATTTATTTATTTATTTATTTATTTATTTATTTTTGTCAATTTACAGGATACATGGTCTGGAAGAGAAAAAGGTAGATATATTAAAAAATATACTTTCTGAACCAGTGGGGGATTTGCAGATTCCACCTACCATTATCCTTGGTGCATTTGGAACTGGCAAAACATATATTCTGAAAGAAGCAGTGGCACTGCTGATGAAAGATACTTCAAAAAGAGTCCTGATATGCTGCAAGTTCGATAGGTATTTAATTTTATATCTTGTAATATTTATGAGTACTTTTCTCATTACAGTAGAAGACGGGCAAAATTTCAGGTGCAAAACTATCTGCAGTTTTGTTTTGCCTTTTGTTGTAGATTTGCTTAATTCAACCATTTTTCTTTTTATACATGTTACAGTGTAAAGATGAATAGTGGAAAACAAAACTGTCAGTAATTTACTTTGTTTAGCCATTGATACTGGTATATTACAAAAATAAATCCCTAGGAAATCCTGAACTAAAGTTAATGAGACTGTCAAAGTACCAAATATCTAAATTATATTCATAAATTAATAATAGTGATATATAGCTTTAAAGAATACTAGTTTCAGGCTTATATTTTTCTTACTATGATTTTTCCTTTTTTTCTCCAGTGCTGCAGATCTGTATGTGTCTTTTATTGAACACAAACTGAAGGAACACTCCAAACAAGCAAGCAAACATGACCATCCTTTGAGAATATATGGAATAGAGAAAGAGAAGGGTAACAAGGATGTCAAGTACTCAGTTTGTACCAGGCCATCGCAGGAACAGCTTGATAGACATAGGATTATAATAACAACACTGTCTGCATCCATGCTGTTAAAGTTTGGACCTTCAGAGGCACTGGTCTTTACCCACATTTTCATCGATGAAGCAGGACAAGCATTAGAGCCTGAATTGGTTATGCCTCTTTCACTTGCTGATCCCAAAACTGTTGTTGTATTGGCTGGAGACAATAGACAGCTACTTCCAAAAATATACAGCAGAGTCGCAAAGGACCAGCATTTTGAAATGCCCCTGCTACAACGTCTCTTTCACCTCAACCTAAAGCAATCAAAAGAAAAGGCTCCAGAAGCAGCAGCAACTGCAAAGAGTGCCAACCAACATGTGTTTCATCTCACAATTAACTATCGAAGTACTCCTGAAATTTCACAATTTCTGGGACAGACATTTTATCAGGGTCATCTTCATTGTGCTGCAGAAATTGGATCAGAAAAATGTGTTCCTCCTCTCTCATTTTGGGTCACAAGAGGTGAGGAGAAGAGGTCTGGAGCATCCTACTACAACATTCCTGAGGCCAAAGAAGTAGTGATGCGAGTTCAGGACCTTACTGGGGATGGTAAAATTAAACCATCCAACATGGCTGTTATAACTCCCTATGAAGGGCAGGTAATACTGTTATACATGTATGATTTTGTTTCCTTAGTTGTATTATCAGCGATGTTTAATACAGTTAAACTATGTTTTGCCAGACCTACATGTATATTTTAGAATATATCACAATTATTTGTTGGTCCAACTCACAATAGCTGTTTGTTGATCCTAGTAATGACTGACTGGCAGTTACAGTTCAGTTTTGGGCACTGATAATGTTAATAAGTAATACAGTGGAAATGCCTCAGGTTGATTGGTCCAATATTAGATTCTTCTAAAACGCATGCTGTTTCAGCATTAGATTTTGCTTAAAAAAAGAAAGAAGGAAACATGTTTTGTCCCATTTTTATTTTCAGATGCTAGTTATTTCAGAAATGCTGGAAGAGAAAAGACTAGGTGCTGTCAAGACAGAAATTGTTGAAAACATTCAGGGTATTTATCAAATAATAAGGCTATACAGTAGTGAACGACCTAATTCAAACAAATGTGATATACATGTATACAGCAATGCCTCAATTTTTTCCAATGGGTGAACATTACCAATTTTTCAACATTACCAATTTTTCAGGTATATAATTTTAAAATCACAAAATTAATAAAAAATAACTATATAGTAACTTGCTTTTTAATTTGTTGCTACCCCTCATTAGAAATGTTCTTATTTTAAGACATTACGTACTGTATGACTAAAAAAATGCAATATCTGTAACATTTACACTTCCCCTCATTGAAAAGATCTGAGTCTGAGTAACTACCATAGTTCTGAGAACAGTGCTTTAGTAACATAACTGCATAAGGTGATTTGTAAGCTTCTAAAAGTAGTTTCATTTTCTGTCAAAAAGTGTTTTTTGTGGGTACTATTTGAATATATGACATCCTGATAGAATTCAATATTAGTAACCCAGACAGCCTCAGTAATCTGGCCCATGTCTGGCCCATATCTGGCAATGTCTGGCAACGTCTGGCAAAAGGTATGGCCCACGTATGGCTTGCCACATGTGGGCCAGATGTGGCAATGTTTGGGCCAGATCTGGCCCAGACATTGCAACATCTGGCCCAGTCCACATTTGCTCATATGGCCAGATGTCGGCCCAGATCTGGCAATATCTGGCAAAGGTATGGCATGTCGGATGTGGACCAGATGTGGGCCAGATCAAATTCAAAGGGGCCAGATTAGGGCCAGACATGGACCACATATGGCCTAGATTGTTTTTTTTTTTTTATTATTTCACATTTGCTCATGTGGCCAGATGTCGCCCCAGATCTGGCAATATCTGGCATAGGTATGGCATGCCGGATGTGGACCAGAAGTGGTCCAGATTAGGGCCGGACATGGACCACATATGGCCCAGATTGTTTTTTTTTTTTTTTTTTTATTTTATTATTTTTAATTATTCAAGAAGATTACTATAAAAAAGACATACAAGATTCAAGATTCAAGTATTTATTCTGTGCTACAACCCTAACAAAATTATTACACATTATATAACCTTGCTGGCAACTAACATGTAACAAATTAAGGGCGTCTCCTTGTCTTTTTGTACAAAACAAAGTATGTTTGAAAAAAAAAAACTACACTGCAAAAAGGCAAATATACAGACACTTAACAAGAGGAAATGTCACTTACATACATGTAAAGAAAAAAGTTATAACAACAATTTTTTTTCAACACAAAGCTCTCATCGAATCTGAATTAACACAAAAATTGTAATTAAGTATGCATGTACATTGGGGGGGGGGGGGGGGGGGGGGTTTGGGGGGGAAATTTTTTCCCACCCTAACCCAAAATAATTTTTAAC